TTTTTCAAAATAATATTTTAAATATATTTCAATATAAAATATCAAAATAATATATGTTTATTTTTCATTTTAATATAAAAATAAAATACATATTTTGAGGAATAATACAGAATTGCACCCATTATTCCCCCGCACAATGTCCCAAAAATTCAAAATATATTCGTTTCATTTTGACATCAATGAGTGCATTGTTTCTTGAGTTGAAATATAGGTGGCGCATATCCACAAATCAATTTGAATAATATGAACATTTCATTTTGCTTGAGAGGTGTTCTAAATTGTCGCTGGATGTTGCTGGCTCAGAGGGCTTCCTGGTTGGGACTTCCTTTGAGACTCCCTGTTGTTCCGGTGGAACCATTGAAAATAGATGAAAATAGCAAGAATGGGCCAGAGTCTTGGAAACGGATCTGCTCTCAATCTCTCACTGCGTGTTTGTGCCACTGTCAGAAAACTGGTCTCCCATACTCTTACTTCTTGAAGCTTGATTGCGCCGCGGTACGCACAAAAGAAGAGCCGCCAATAAAGATCTCAGGTATCTTAATGTTGATTTGTTCGTAGTCGAAACCAGTAAACTCAAAATAGTTTGATACTGTGACAGTTCTGATCATCCTTCTTTCAACCAATTCCAATATCTATGTAACGATTTTCCAATGATAAAACAATCCAGTGTTTTTTTTGGTGAGCCAAACTTCTTCCGCCACAGATTTTCTTCATCCAATCTGTCGCCTCTCTTTTCACGTGTCCAACCAACGCTTCCGGCAAGGTGTTGAGGTCTGGGCTGCACTCACGACGTGATTTTTGCCACCTGGTCAAGAAGAAGTCTGGACCCTGATTTTTTGTGTCATCCTGGAGTGGATAGACTATGTACATTTCATAAGACATAAGTAAAATGGGAATATCTTTGATAATTCCATATACGGTCTAGTTCAGGATAATTACATATGCAACCAATGATTTCGTGGTGGTTTGGGCGGTTTGGAATCCCAGAATAATTCCAAAAAATATCATAAAAATATCATCACTATGGGTTATTCCCACTTCCAAACCACCAGTTTGCCATTGGTGAAAAAAATACGAACGTCGTATATTTGATATTAAATCAACATAACCAGGGCTGCCCCGTCTGGTCAGTCCAAATCCTTTGATATTACCTTTGGCATAACGGCATAGGATTGCTTAGCACTACGCTGTGGAAAAACCAAAGGTAAATAAAAAAGGGCAGGGAAGGTGCTGCATCTCAATATTCCTAGTGGCATGAACATCGCATCACCAACACGATGAAGGCTATGCTTTCTGCTGGACCTGCTGGACCTTTCCTCATCCAAGTGGACCGATTTCACTACTCTGAAAGAGTTCCATGGCAAAATGCCTCGGAATCTGTACACACTTCTTGAAATCTACTTGTGAAATTATTGTAAATTTGAATATATCTGGATATATCTGGATCATTCTGGATCATCTTAAACTTTGAATTTGGATGAATTTGGCTGATTTGGCTGCTAGAATTGGCAACAACTTTTGGTGGAAAAAGGCGTGTGTGTCAAGGCAAGGCTAACATTGAATCCGTAATAGAAATCTGTGGAATTTCGCATCTTGTTTGGTCATTAATTCTCGCAAGACCTACATCAATTTATTCTGGCAGAATGTTTTGGATGACATGCTGGTTGAAACGAGGTCAATGATCGTAGATTTTGGCCCAAAAGTAACGAGCGGCTTTGAAACATGTGTTGGCTACTTGAGATATCTTGAGATCACTGTCTTTGCCAGGCCTGATTTAATTCTAGTCCTAGTCAATATTGTCAACATTGTCATTGCAGAAGCTCAAGTTGCAGAAGCAGAATATTCGGCAAGAAGCTGGAGGCACTTGACCAGCTGGCAATTCAAGATTTTTGTGTGTCTGTGAATATTTTGTGAAGGTTTACGTGTATGTACAAATGATATACTCAGAATATCAGGCATTGAGGATCATCATCCCAGATAAATAGTTGAACATAAATAAAATTCATGGTTTCGTGACCTAGCCCGACAATGGACATTTAATGATTTTCCCACCAAACATGGTACTTTTCTATTGCCGTGTTTATATACCAAACAGATCCAAAGAGTAAGGCACTTGAGGCACTTAGGAATTGAGCCAAGTCACAATCTTTCAACCAGCTCACCAACCAGCTGACCGGCAGGGCAGGCGCAGGGCCGCAGGGCCCCAACCAATGGCTTCACCATCAGAACAGTGCCCGCAGAGTACCGCGGAATCCCAACCTTAGTGGATGGTATCTGGGAGGATTTTTTCCGAAGCATTTCATGAAATTTCATGGCAGTCAGCTCGTCAGAATCTCATCAGAAACACAACAAAAACGTGTCTGATGTACCAGGATTGATTGATTCTAAAGACCCATGCATAAAATATTCTTATATAACGAACTTTATGATATAAGATACTCTACTATTCCCCCTCTTTTTCATGTTCTTTCCTGCTATACCTTTCCAGGTGGGAGAAAGTATCAAGCAGCATGCACCAAGCCCAGGGACATTGAGACGATATTGAGCCAGCCGGGAAGAAAGCCTTCCTCGGACACAACAGCCCCGGCGCAACCGCATTGACCAATGGGGAAACAACCAATCGCCTCCAGCAAATCCCGTATTGGGGGAAGTAGCAAATAACAAACAGTAAAACAGTCAAACAATCAATCAATCAATCAATCAATCAATCAATCAATCAATCAATCATACGGAGTGGCACATGAAGTTGGCTTCAGGGCTTTTGAAAATCCTGGCTACTATAAAAACACGTTCAATGCATGCCCCCTGCAATTTTCGGGTGCATCCTTTTGTTGTGGTTCTAACTCTTGTTCAACAATAAGACTTACTCAGAGTTCCTGGACTGAAATTCTCAAACACCACTCATGAAACATCATTTATCAACAACACGTGTCTGAAATCTCCAAAATCACTAAAACATACTAAAACCCATCTATTCCCAAGCAACATGGACGTCTTTGCATATCCAAATCTCATCAAATCTCCACATTCTCCACATTCACTCAACTCATGTGGCACCCCATGTGATCTCATAGCAACATCACTTGAAGGTCCGTGAGTTGGCCACATGGGTGTCCGTTTGTATTATGTAAATGCGAATGGCTATCGCAATTCCTGTTGACCAATATCATTGCTACAAACGAGTAGTCTTGGATACCTACAGATACCATGCCAAAGATGGTGTCCTATAGTTCGGCATTAGTTTATCTCACAGAAAAAATGCAACACGTGTCGAGAAATACAAGACCATCATAAGATTATCAACGTATTAAAAAATGTCTTACCATCTGGTTATTTAACATAGCTATGGAAAATCCCCAAAATAAATGGATGTTTCTAGCTGGGAAAATCGTCTGTTTCTATGGGCCATGGCTTCCACAGCAAACTGTTGACATAACCAGAGGGTACTGCTTCATCAATATCCCAGTATTATCCCATCATTATCTCAGCAAATCATCCCATCATTAAACCATTCTATAAACCATAGTAAACCACGGTAAAACCATATAGAATAAGACATTATTATCCCACTAACATATTTCCCATTATCCCACTAACATATATTAACCATTCTATAGACCATTAACCCATAGTAAACCATGTCTTAAACTCGCCTTTTTTTGGATATTTTTACGGATCCAGCAGCAATGGCACAGCTGGCGAAAATGGCGGAGACCAGCGCTGGAGCAAAGCCATCGCCGGTGACCTCAGAGGTTGGATCGGGATGTCGCTAGAAATAGGTAAGTTGGTTGATAACTCCAATAACTATGGTTTATGGTACTTATAACTATAGTTAATGGGGTTTATCAACCAACTTAGATATCTTGGGGGCCCCACATTGTAGAAAGTGCATAAAAATGGGATAGAAATGGCATAGAAATGGCATGTAACTATGGTTATCTAATCAAAAATATCATCCAAATGATGAAAAAAACGGTTAGCTATGATTGAATATGGTTACATTCAAACAAATTAGATCCTCATCCAATTCCTATGGACACATTGAAAAATCCACCAGCAACAGTTTGATGATGTTCCCTACGAACTAGACCTCGCTAGTTCGGGGATTTCGCAGCTGGCCATGTTTGATTACCACAGGATATATATTTTATACTGTATCTGGTTGGTGGTTTTAACCATCTTGAAAAATGATGGAGTTCGTCAATGGGAAGGATGACATCCCATATATTGTGGAAAAGAAAAAATATTTGAAACCACCAACCAGACATATATATATACAGGTGGAAGAAGCTGAAATAGGTCTGTCTGGAAAGAAACGGGGACACCTCCCAATTCCAATGTATTAGAACATCATGTTCCTGGCCATGACTGGGGCTAACGCACTCTCATTTCTTGAAATGTGTGGTCATTTTGGGGAGGTTCCCTTACTATCATCATCAATTGAATCTATTCGTGATGTGGTGATGTCATCAAACGCGAGGCCTTCAATGGCCATTCACCCAGATCCATGGCAGGGATCCGCTACTGGCAAGCCACATCCTGTCCAGCCAGCAGTAAGCCTTTCGGCCAATGCTCCACCTGCCGCTCCGCTCGGCACGGCATCTGGGGGTCAGATTTCCCTGATTTCCCTTTGAATTTGACCCAGCATCCATCAACTTCTTGATGAGCTGTAACATGGCCCTCCCTATATATATATGGTATATATATATGGTCTATATATATATATTATATATACCCCACCATTTTGAAAATTCTGGGATGGTGACTTTTGCACAAATGGAACAAAGCGACCTCACAAGTTAGGCCGCTGGGCCAGCCTTCGGTTTGGGAAGGAGCCATTCGATATCTGCTTGCGACTTGGCCATGGTTTGTTGCAGTCCGTAGCTTTCACCCTGTGTCCTCAGTGGAACATCCAGATGTTAGGAAAAGATCAAGGTAGATCAGATAGATTGGTTAATATGATATATAATATCATTGGTTAATATCATATATCCATATGTTTTGTAGATATATAATATGATATATATATATATATAACTATATAATATAATTACAAAAGCAAACATGTTGGTCAAGATTGGATGATCTTGGATGGTTCCATGTGTGAGCAAACTATCTGCAACTCTTCGGTCCCTGCTGTCGTGAACGTTTGTAGTTTGCAGCCACAGAGATCCCCACCACATGTGGCTTTGATCGCCGATCTTCCTGAAACCATCGCCTGAAACCATCCCCACACTTTAAGGGTAACCAACTGATATCACGGGGCGAAATTCTTCTGTCAAATCCACCTCGATTTGGTGCTATGACAAACATCGCTTCACCTCGCATCAAAGCAGCCCATCTGTGTGTAAATAGCTCCACATGTTGGGTAAACTTGGAGTAGTTTGGGTGGACCTACAAATCTACCAAGCAAAATGGATTTCACCAACATGATTGACCCAACCCAAGCAGTTCAAACAGCTGCAAGTGCAGTTCCAGATATTCCAGTTATAAGTGGATATATAACCGTAGTTATAGGGGAGTTATACCATGTTATACCATGTTATACCAATTTTTTGACCAAAAATTCTGCACCCCCAATAGTAACCCTTCTCTCCAAGATTCTTCCCCAAATAGAAGTTCGTGTCCAGAGGTGTGCCCATATTCACATACTCCACCCGGCCCTTCGTTTGGGGATACCTGTGCCAGCAGCCATGGCGTGGAAAACAAGGCCTTGTGATAGGTACAGAAAAAATCCACAATGATAATATGCATTTTATGTTTAACAAGGCCAACTGTTTGCATCATTGATGATGCATGATATCTAACTTTCACAAAACTTTCGTGAGGGTTCGAAACATGAGATAAGGCTCATCTGAATCATAACTTCTCACAAGGACCCCTTTAGATCAACCACACATCAGCTGGGTGTATCTTCTCCATGCGAAAACCCGGCTTTCTGCAACAGTTTCAGCCCAGACTTGGCCCTGTTCACCTAATCGAGGATGGGGTTGGGGGCCATGCTCCATTGATTTCATTGATTTCAGGACCTTGTGACCTGGACCAGCTTACGCCTTGAACACTGTTGGGTCACACCCACTGCCCATTGGAAAAAAATCTGAGAAATTGAGCATCGTCTGCTGATTGCACCCCATCCACAGTAGTGTCAAGTCAGATCATCATTATTCTTTTTTTTGACAGAAAAACAGGTTTGAAACCACCAGCCATGCTCATTATCATGCCAACATACCATCCGGTAGTCAAACATGGCAATGGACAATTCCCCCTTACCTTCGATGATTTTCCCAGCAAACTCAACCCCCATGGCTAGCGCGAAAATTTTGCCGGATTGTCCCCCGAATCGTAGCTGGTCAGTAACCATATGGTTGGTCCCCTGGACCAACCATGGTTGTCCCATAGGGTGAACGAAGCCCACTTAGTTGTGCCAAATTGTGCCAAGCTACTGAGTGTATAGGATGTTCAGCAGCCGTTCTTCGAATTTCTTCTTGAACGCTTCATAGTCCTGGCTTCAACATGACTTTGGGGGTTCCCATCCATGTCCATCATTCCTTTCCCTAACAAAATAGGCAAATGTTTTTGTAAAGCAATAGGATCCACCATCCCCAAGTCATCACCATTTTTAAGGCTGGGATTACCATCAATCCATATCTGGTTGGTGGTTTCAGCCCCTCTGAAAAATATGAAAGTCAATTGGGATGATTATTCCAAATATATGGAACAATAAAAAATGTTCCAAACCACCAACCAGATATGGTTATGACCTTGCTGGCCACCAACATGAACAGCTCAACCCACAATTGCAACACTTGGCTCTTCCGCCTCACCGCGGTGCCGAACTTTGGGTCCCTTCCACTTGTGGAACCAGTCCCAAGGTGCGTCACCTGAAACGCTGACATGGGCTGGGTCACCCCCTATTGATGATGGCATACTTGGGATTCAACCAAGCATTTTATGGGATTAAAACAACTATATCATAGAAATATAGTAGCATATATCCAGCATAATGGGTGTAGTGTGGTAGAATTTACAGGAAATCCTGGTTTTGAGGCCCCACATATCCCCAAATATGGATCAATCATTATACGAGGTTCCTGTAAATTGTCCACAAATCAACTCCGGGAAAAATGAGACAGTTATGGAATATTCAACCTAATGTGGTAAACCCAATGCCATAAACCATCTCAGTACCATAAAAGGGTGTCATCTTACACATTCTTACATCATACAAACATAGGGGTATAGTATACGGTATACCTATTATACCTAATAACATCTATAAAAATCTATAAAACATTTTTTTGGATGAACTATCCTTCATTACCCACATTCCTAGATTGCTTGGACTGGGGTTGCAAGTTCAACTTCGAAAAAAAATGCGGATGCAGGTGCAAGCGGAAGGCATGCAGGAAAGGGTGACAGCCAACTGTTCAAAATGGAGTTTGTAAGCAACACAGCCTCTGGACGTGACACACAATGTATTTCTCATTCAACATGTAAATTCCAAGTAAATTCAGTTAGAATCTCAATATATATGCTGGGAATTCCAAGTATATAATAGAATTCTCACTTCGAAGTGAATTTTCACTGAACATGTCAAAATGCAACTAGAAAACCAACACTTTGGAGGTCTTGGTGGCAATGACAGCAGCCCGAAACTTAGACACCCACACGACCTTCAGAAACTGATCCCCAAGACACAGGATTTTGAAGAAACTTACCCCAATCATTCAGACATATTCAGATACATCCAGATATATCACCAGCTAAAAAACTGTTTTTTCACCAACCAACATGCTGATGTATACCCCCCCAGTGTCATCAGTGTCATCAGTTTCATGACAAGTGCGGACCTGCCACCACAGCGCAGGTGCAGCGATTTGGATGGCGCGCGCTATAGGACGGGTCCTGTCAGAAACTCAATTGGGGTTTATATAGCTGAGCTAATAAATATATATACATATATATACAAAAAACAGGAAAATAAAATATATACTATCTAATATAAAAATATAAATAAATATACATATACGGTGAAAAATATAATATATATATAAGGTATATCCAACGTAGCCCACCAAAGTGTGGGAATTGTAGCCCGATGAGCAGAAAGAGCAACATTTCGTGGATTCTCGCCCTTCTGTGGTTTTCTCCGCAAATTCTCGCCCCTGTATACCGTGCTGCTTTATTTATCTCAATCTCGTCCAGTGTAGCGCGCGGTGCAAAAACCATGCTGGTTTGCATCTGAGGGGTCGTGTTAATATTCATGTACAGTCACGACAACATGTCATGGCCTACTTTGGCTCAAGACCTTGAGCCAGAGTTGCCCTTGAGCCTATAGAAAAAATGCGCAATACTTGGCTTCTGGATTATTTCTGTATATGGCAGTGTGTCAAAACCTTGTACCCCTGGTGAACATCAAAATAGCTGGTAAATGGATGTTCATCCCCCTAAAAATGGTATTAATAGGTATTGATCCATACCCATATCTGACAATCACATCATGTAGCCTCCGGTAATTTCAACGTGACTTGCTGGAAAGGATCTCCCGGCCATGTTTGATGACAGGGGCTACCCTCTGGTAATGACTAACAGTTTGCTATTGAAAATGGCCATAGAAATTGGTGATTTACCGAACTCAAAGATGGTGATTTTCCATAATTTTATGTCTGTTTCTCAGAGGCTAACCATGAAAAAGACGGATCCCATGCACCTCACGGCGCTGACCACCCCGTCCTTGGCGCTTGGGAAGGCCAAGCCGACGTAGCCAAAAGGAGCAGTGGGATCAGCTTGGAACTCCTCCATGCATTTGGCTAAGTCCTGTGGGACACTGGTCAGGTACAACCACATCCCATGAAGGTGTTTTTGTAACCCACCAAGATTGATAGGAAAGGTTCAAATTATCACTGTTTAAAGTGGGCTTTTACTTTTCTTTCTGAGGTTGATATAAACCGCACTTCCAACATCTTCGAAGACAGCTAAATATATGACCTGCGGAGGATTTTCCAATCACCAGAGGGGCCAAGAATTTTCTGAACAGAACAGCTTGCGGCCCGGCCTCGCCAGGCAACACCTGGAGGATCAAGCGGAACAAGCACGAAACACTGGACCAACAGTGACCAACAGCTGCTGAAAACCATGGAGTTTTCTGGCAGAAAATCATGTTTTTTTTAACATGTGTGCTAGTTTTTACCATCAAATGTAAGACGGTAAGGCCTATTGATAAATTGTGAAACCAAGTCCATGGACATGGGTCCAACCTGAAGCTTCCGAAAGGAATAAGGATTTGGATCAATTCAGTCACCAGGGAAGTTGGGGATACCCAATGACGTTTTTGGAAAGCTTCGGATGGCATGCCAAAGCCTCCAGCCAATTGTGGACGCTTCATGGATGCAGGAAACTCAAAAGGTTGGGGAAATTTGGAAACCTCCAAGCTGGACCTTCGAAGTCGAGCAGCTAGGACAGGCAGTTCACACCAGGGCGATATCAGGTCCAGAGAAACATCCACGCCAGCCCAAGTGACTGAAATTCATCCATTGACCCTGCCAAAATGAAGTGATGCTAAGGTGAACGATACGCCTACTTGTAGAACGTAACAATATCTTCTTCCTGTTATAGCTGCCCTAGATATTTAATAAACTACCCATAGGTTACATATGTTTGTTTTTTTTGGGGGGAGAGGTTTAGTATTAGGGAGAAGGGATTAACATGATTAAACCTATTCATAAACCATCAGACATGGGAGTCGATCGCCAACATCCAAGAGGTATTAGTGGCCTGTGGTGCGAGTTGTCGCCGGGTCACCCAGAGATTGTTGCTGGGCAACTTCAATTCCTCCGCAGAGCCACGTAGACCAACGAAGAGGAAGAGATGGCCGTGCCTCCAGCGACACACAAACTGAGCCAGCTGGAGATGCGCGCTATTGCGCGCTTTTTCCCAGAATGGACAGTCATTTCTGGCATCTTCTGCAGAATGTGGGACAGATTGGGGTGAGTTCTTCAATCGAATGAGATATTTTTTTCACAAACTATTGAGATATTCATGAGATATTCATGTGTTTGGGAACCTCATTCAATAGCTTGGTAGCTCCAACGGGCTCCCCATTTGAGTTCGGGCATTCCGGATACCGCTGACCCCGGCGGCACGTCCGTTCCAGGGGTGAGAGCCGTTGCAGGAAGGCTTTGTGGCAGGGTTTCCTCAGCCCACATCGAATGAACAAAGGAACAGGGCCAACAAAATCCAACAAATGAAGATCTCCCCAACTTGCATGTGGAAAAAAAAGACATATCCAAGTTGGGTATGAACCAAGTACTTTTTTTTTGGGGGGGGTACGAGTCGTGTTGAATCTCTGTTAATTCTTAAGTTTATATGTCCTCTTCAATTTTGTATGTACATGAGAATCTACTAGTCTATGATACCCAGTAAACTAACATTTAGATATGCTTTCCAAAGGAAACCGGAATTCCCCTTGTGCTTCTCGGCCCCCCGGTCCGACCAAGTGGCTCCTGCAAAAACTGTTCGGTGCTGTGAAGACCGATGCTCGAGACCTATCGAAACGGCAAGGCATTTCGGTGAATCATGGTGTTTTTTATGGTTAGTACAATGTGAGGCCCCCAAGAAGCTAAGTTGGTTTATAACTCCAAAACTATGGTTTATGGTACTTATAACGAACTAGTTTCTGGGGCTTATAAACCAACTTATGACTGGGGGGCCTCACATAGTAGTAGTAGTTAGTTCGTAGTAGCAGTGGTTAGTGAATCGGTTAGTGGTGAAAGATGCTGAAACTGTTCATTTACCATTGATTTTTGAGGTTAATGGCTAGCAATGGCTGGTAATTAATGACTAGTAGTTGTTCGTAATACTGATTTATATTATTGATCATGGTTAATACTTACGAATCCAGTCCCCCCATCATAGTCCATGCCCCCATGATGGAGACTCTAAAATGAGTAGATCCAATATCGATGGGAATTTCAGGATCCTAAAATGGAGGTACTGTACCATATAAGACCATATTTTGTGGGGATATTCCCTTACATAGGCCTGAAAAACAGGCCTAATTGAACTGTAGGTACCTCCAATTTAGGTTCCTGAAATGGCCATTGACAATACTTAACATGGGTTTACCAGATGGTATGTAATGTTGGAGGATTATTTGAAGCACAAGTTACCCTTTGGTGCCATGAAACATTGAGGGTTTGTTCATTGGAAAATCATCGAACTAAACAGGCAGAGGATTTTCCAGCAAACCATGGTTGACGACCAAAAGGGATCATGGAAACCGCTTCAAAATGATGTCAACATACTGGAAAAACAGTCACCCATGAACTTAGGATTTGGGAATTATGAAAAATACGAGTACCCGAACTGTCGACTTATCTCAGCATTCTTTAAAGGGATCATGATAATAACTTTGATATACTTTGATGTAAACTGATGTCACTTCTGTAACGGATACAATGGGATAGACCACGGTAGAGCCAACAATATGATACTGGTTCGTTTGATAAACCAATGTATTCAGAAACCAATTGTATCATACCATCAATTGAAACAAACCAATGTATTTGAATTGGATCTATCCCAATGTATTCAAACCAATTCAAACCAATTCAAACCAATTCAAACCGTGACTTTCAACCCAAACTTTGTCGAATCAACAGGACAAGGCACCCCCCTGGGATTGCTATGTCACCTTGTCTGGCGCCAATTCTCCCATCAAAAATGCCAAGAGATTGAGGCAATCGTAAGGCTTTCTGAAATCAAACACATGGACGATCCCGGAGAAATACATATTCTGAACTTGAATAATAATTAATATTCATAATATGTATTTAATTCATAATCAAGTTCAGAATATGTATTGGGTTATCATCACTTTATGAATATTACCTCATGTAGTACCACAACCTCATTTAATTCATCATCAACCACAACCACAACCGTTGCGCTTGTCCCAGGAGATGTAGTACCCCTAAATCGATTGGGTTATCATCACTTTTCCGATGAAACTTGCACAAAACTAACTTATACCGACTGCTTTTTGATGGCCAAACAATCATAAAATCAATCTTTATTTGACAAAAACGCCTTTTTCCTATCTTTCAATGGCCAAGAGTGGCTTCATTTAACATTTCCACTAAATCCATCTATAAATCCCACTAAGTACCATCTGGTTGGTGGTTTCAATCCCTCTGAAGAATCTGAAAGTCAGTTGGGATTATTCCCAACTGTATGGAAAATCATAAACCAAAGCACCAACCAGCCATATAATCATCAATCAGAGGGTGCAAGCAGCCACAATTGATATTTAGAGCCCCACTAAATCCATCTATGAATCCCACTAAGTACCATTTGGTTGGTGGTTTCAATCCCTTTGAAGAATCTGAAAGTCAGTTGAGATTATTCCCAACTGTATGGGAAATCATAAAATTCATGTTCCAAAGCACCAACCAGCCATATAATCATCAATCAGAGGGTGCTTGCGCAGCCACAATTGAGATTTAAGAGCCCCACTAAATCCATCTATGAATCCCACTAAGTACCATCTGGTTGGTGGTTTCAATCCCTCTGAAGAATCTGAAAGTCAGTTGGGATTATTCCCAACTGTATGGAAAATCATAAAATTCATGTTCCAAAGCACCAACCAGCCATATAATCATCAATCAGAGGGTGCAAGCAGCCACAATTGATATTTAGAGCCCCACTAAATCCATCTATGAATCCCACTAAGTACCATTTGGTTGGTGGTTTCAATCCCTCTGAAGAATCTGAGTTCGTCAGTTGGGATTATTCCATCATTAATCCCATCATTAACCAGCATTAACCATCCACATATTACCCTCTGGTAAACTAACATAGCTATGGAAAATCATCATTTTCAATGGGCAAATCCACTATTTCTATGGCCATTTTCAATAGCTATGTTAGTTTTCCACATTATTAGCCATCCAATCGCCGAGCCATGCCGAGCCGCTACCCAGGGCGCTTTCACCCGCAGCTGCTCCTTTTCCAACACCACGCCCTCGACGTCCCCGTGCTGGTCCCACAACAAGCCCTCCACGCGGGCGCGCACGAAGACGCGGCCTGGATCGGTGAGTTCCTGAAGGAGCTAGTTACCACTGGTTAGATCCCTCCTGTAACGCACTTAATGTCAGTTACCCTCTGGTAATTTAACAGTTTGCTATTGAAAATGGCCATTTATAGTGGATTTACCCATTGAAAATGGTGATTTTCCATAGCTATGTTAGTTTACCAGAGGGTAATGTGGTTAAAACAAAAATTGAAACCATCCACAAAATCACCATTTTTATGGATGCTATAATTAAACCATTCCCAAATGGGTGGTTTATGACTTTGTTTTAACCTTTTTTTATGTCTTTTTTTTTGGAAGCCACTTGGACACTTGGAATATCACCCCACAACTGGTTAGTAACTGGGGTAAGTTTACCCATGAATGGGATATTCGGCTGAATGGGGACTTAGTAAGTAGGCTTATTTACCTCTTACTTAGTGGCAAACTGCCACAGAAATGGAACATGGCCCATTTCCAGATGATTTACATTGAAACAATGAAGATGTTCCATAGTTATGTTAGTTTACTGGAGGGTATACCGCTGTTGATTGGTGATTTAATGGGGATTTCATATGATTTATCCATGATTTGTAGACGATACATAAATTATACCGTAACCATGGAACATATGGGGACATAGGTGATTATTCATGGTTCGGACGTGGTTCCAAAGTTGTTGTTAACCAACAAGTAACATCGTTGAATTGGTAAACACAATCATACGTAGCATGGCAAACACAACCATAGACCATGCCTAATGACTACAAGAAATGGCCGGGATTCCAACTGTCCCCCAAAGAGGGATTTTACTCTTGTGTTTTCCACAAAACGCCAATCCTGATCGTCAAAACCATTTTGATTGTTAAATCCCCACTCTTCAAGGGCAATTCATTGCTAGTACCTCCTCTCATGATCAGCAAAATTATTAAAACCCAACAGTAGTTCACGATGCCTTAACCCTCAATTCATCTTGGTGGCTAATTCATCACTTTCAGTATGTTGCTGATCTCCCGATTAAAAAAAATACATTACATGAGGATCACTCTGATGACCCATGTGCCCAGGCTCCGACAAATCGCCTCCTTGGCTTTCAATCTTTCGGACCTTGGCTGGCTGCGAAATTGCAGCTGCGCAATTGGAACCAGATTCAAACAAGATGGGTCCCCGAACAAAAGCAAGTTGGTTTATTTAACTGCCATAGGTGATTTTTATGGTTTATGGCAATTATACAGATCGAGCTAGTTAATGTGCTTTATAAAACAACAAACATAACTGGGGGGCCCACTTTGTAGGACATAAACAAAGTCATGGTTTGGCTCAAGTTGTCATCCAATCTTGTTTTTTTGCTTTTACCAGCAACCAGCACAGATATACAAAAATCAGAGCCTTACCCAATGACATGCAACTTGGACTAGATCACTAGATACGGGTCACTTGAGTACACAAATAAATGTCAATCCCTTGTCTTTGCCACAAACAACATCCGGTGCATATTGCCTCGTGCGTCTTCGGTCTACATACACTCTTTGGAAACAACATCCAGCAACCTTTCCAACTTCTGCTCAATCCATTGTAAAGCAAATCCGACATGCATAACACTACATAGGTCCTATCTTAGGTTTGTCTGAAAATACAGAAATACAACCGGTAATTATCCATAGTGTGGTAAACCCAATACAGTAACAAGCCATCCCAGCATTCAGCCATTTAGTGGCTACTATGAATCAATAGGGGTATACCGAAGAATGAACCAACAATTGGGGATGGTTTATGATTGGATCTACCACACAACATCATAATGGTCATATAGAGTACAGTATACATAAATAAATAAATATATATATATATTATAATGATATATAATAAATATATATAATATCCTTCTTGATCCTCTTCTATCCCCAATTCTATCTACTATCCATGGCACTTCAGGGATCAAACCATTGGGAGCAGCCGAAATCGCACTGATGGTGGCCATGATACCATGGCTCGGGTGATGGCGGGAGGTCCACCCTCAGGAAAGTAGGCACCTTCCGAAAAGTGCACCTGCACGCCCAAAATGGACCTCGGCAAACGATCCACACCCGGTACCCTAAGATAGCTGGATGATGCTGGATGTGTATTCCACCAACTTACTTGTGCTAAACGTAGGGAATTTTCGGGAATGATCCACAATCTTTTCTTAATCATCCCATTCCCCCCAGCAACCCATGCATTCCCTACGTAAAACGCACCAGTAAGCCAAAGATGTGTTGTAACTTGACCCATCCCCATTGTGTCAAGGTGTCAAGGGGATGTAGTTTTTCGTATGGTCATCCCATTTCATGGGGATCCACACATACTGCAGTATATAAACCCTTAGTAACTGATTGATGAACATTTCCCAAAATGAATGGCACGAATGCTGTACTTGGCAAAATGATAGTCTTTTCTGGTCGGAAAATTTTAACAGAACACAAATCGCATTTGGTGCCTATTTGTTTTTGAGTCAAACAAAAACATCATGGAATCATGTTTATAATGACTTTACGCAACATTTCGCCAGAAGAAGAAAAACCGATCAAAAGCATGTTCTTTTGAACTGTGCGTGTGTGTGTGTGTACCAGGCCGTATTTGGCTCTGGCAAAACGTTGTGAACAACGGCCCCTCAATCGAAGCGACACGCCAGGACATCCAAAGGGATTTGGGGACTTGGACAGCTAGGTATGTTCATTTGTTACTACAAGGTGGGGCCCCATACAGTTATGGCCCTTAACACTTATAAATGGGCTTATCATGATATATAAGCCCATTTATAACTGTTACATTTATAAGTGTTAAGGGAACTATATATCATGATAAGCCCATTTATAACTAAAGTTATCATATCTAACTTAGTTATAGGAGCTATAATAGTTACATTAATAACTGTTGAGGGCCATGACGAAATCTAATTGCTTTACAGGTGAATTTCATAGATCTGAACTAGTCGGCTTAATAAAACAACAAACATAACTGCAAGGCCCGCCGTGTCAGGAGGTCATTTATACACGTGAAAAATGCACCTAAAAAAAACTCATACATATATAGGGTATATATATATATATGTGCATCATATTGTGTATATATATATATACCTGAAGTATAAAATGTATATATATATAGTATAATAAAATATACTACTTAAAACATATAATAAAATAACATATAATAAATATACTATATAATGTATATATATATAATTACATATATATATATATATTTACATATATATATAATATACATAATAATAATATAATTATATATATGGGGGTAAAAACCAGGTATTAGCCGCTTAAGAAACATAGGCATCATGTGGCATCCCAGTAACCCGGGGTAGGGGGTCAGCAGTGGCCACCCATGTTGACCTCTATTAAACCACGTTAAACCATCTCTTTTTCTTGTGAAATCCCCGTTTCACCAGTCCCCGAAACCCCTGGAGATTGTGCCAAGATGCCGCCAATCCGCCACAGCATGGGTCACCCCGAGGCAACCCAACGCCAAATATCCCATGAACTCGGAAACGGTTCGCGTCGGTACAGAAATGGTGAATCAACATGTTTTGTCAACTTCAATTGATGTTATAATAACATATAATAACCATATATATATTACCATGGTTATTATCCATTCATTACATAATATGTGTTTTTTGTTGTTTTCTTCATGTTTTCCGTTTCAGTCGTTTCTACTCGTTCATTCAATGTTTCCCTTTGTTTTTTCGTGCGTGGTTTCTTGAGGCCATATGTTTCCGCCTTTTTCCATTCTCATTTCATTTTTTAGTGCCAGTTGGAAGCAAAAAGTTACTTCGCCCAAATTGTTCAAACCTCCGTCCTCAGGATTTGGATTTGAACGTACACAATCGTGCAACAAAAACTTTGTGATTGGTAAATCAATGTTGCTCAAGTTAGCTGGTTGGTGGTTTCAACCCCTGTGAAAAATATTAAAATTTATTAAAACATGTTCCAAACCACCAACCAGTTAAGGATTCCATGTGAGCCGTGTTCAAAATTCGTTCATCTTCCCTTGCCGAGAATTCAAAGCTTACGTGGGAGCTTACGTTTTGCGTACGTTTTCCTACAGCTAACTTACACATCTCTTACCGCGAACCAACATTGGGATACATTATGATACATTGGGGACATGTAGTTATTTAATTGCAAAGGAACCACAATGGGCCACGCAAGGGGTCAGTGAATGCAACCTTCGCTTACGACTAGCTTACGGATTGCTTACGCGGAGCTTACGGCAAATTCCGATCTCATTAAACACTACTGTGGAGAAAGTGGCATTCAGTCTGGCCTGCTTTCCCTATATACAATGGCATCATCATCAACTTTCATAACGTGCGCCAAATGAGTCACGCAACCTTGTTTAAACCCCAGCTCTCATGGCCCGAAATGGTCTTCCGAACGGCTTACGGCAATATGTTTCTGACCAATGCTCACGTCAAACCATTCGCACTGCTTACGAAACCCAGGCAAAGTCTTACGACTCGATGGAATATAATTAAGCATGCAAAAGGGAAGTTAGAGCGCTGCTGACATGTGGACATCATGTAAACATATCTTCAAATTGTATCACAATGCCCACCTCCATGTAAACAAGATTGGAGAATAAAATCCATCAAACATCATGAAACCCGTATCCCGGGTTCTATTATTTGGCAATATATATACATATACTCCAAGCTGCACAAAACAGATTTTCCGACATTTTCCTGTGCTTCCATCCTTTCAGCATCTGGGGCCCGGACAGCTTTGAGTTTTCCGTTCCTGCTGGGGTGCCATGACTCCAGGGAAATCGTGGCATAAACGAAAATCAGTGGAGTGGAACTCAAACTTGCATTTAAACAAATCACCAAAAGTCATGGCTGGTGAAAGTGGGGATTCCTACTTCATGAGTCTTCATGAATCATGAAAATCCAAATTATATCAATATACATCATCGTCAACTTACTCGGGTTTGAAACTCCTGAAAAATCAACAGCCTCGGAAGAAAGCGTCATTTTGTGTTATTTTTAGTATAATTTCTTGGCTTGACATGGATGTTTTACTTCTGAATGGCTGAATGGAGCACGCGCAAGACCATGATCTGCTTGCATTCTGCGCCATAGCATGGGGGCTTGTTTTCACAAGTGTTTAGCTTCTGTGGTTAGCGTGGAACTACGACAGAACGATTCCGGAATCAAACCTTGTCAAGTTCGAATAGGACAGGGTCAGCAGCGTGCCTGTTGTTGACTCATGGGCACTGTTTTTTAAATCATGCCCCGTCGAAGCCTACGTTGATGGAAGGTGAAACCCACAACTGGAACCTATGCAACGGACCTTGTGAGCTCGTTCGTCCATGCGCTCGCCCGCGGGCATTGAAAGCTTCATCCCAGGGGCAGCCAACAAAGGTCGCAGCAGCCGTCCTTAGAACTTCTCCAGCTTGGCTTAGTGGGGCTTGGCAAGGTTGTGCAGTTTGCGGCTCTCTCAACTTCTTTGCTTTTTGACAACCCTGGTTGTCGCAATTTTCACCATTGAACTCTGCTTTTTGGCGCATCCCCCATCGCCCAAACCTTGCCGAAACTGTGGCCGCCATGAACGCTAGAAGCTGCGCTGCGTGTGAGCGGGCCAAGCAGGAGAGCAAAGAATGAAGCAGCAGGGCGAACACGCGTCTGAAGAAAGACGAAGCCACACACAGCTTGATTGAAAAGCAAGCGCTTGCCACTTACGCATCGATTTCTCTTTTAAAGTGTCATTGTTGATGCCCTTTTGCAAGCATGCGCCGCTAGTACGCGTTATTCCGGACAAACCCACACCTTCCATGGGGGCAACCTCATGACCAGAGTCGTGCGAAAATTCCATGCCAGATAAAGCGAACCGAGTTTTTGCCGGGTGCTTCTTCCCGATGGGCTGCACTCGGTTGCAGAAACTGCGAGCATAGTAATGCCCTGGATGTCCCCTCTTCTTGAAATATCCTGATGCACACCCATCCTTCCAGGTACCAGTCAATTCGGCTTTATCATCACAAGTACCTGCATGTGAATCCTAGTTCCCACGTGAGTAATAATCATAGTATGGACCCGGTACGGGATATACTCGCCAATATATGGATTACTGTATCAAGCACTTACTTTTCGCACTTGGACGCAGTCTCAGGCTGCAAAGTGCAATCATCAAGCCATCACCAACTCCATCAGGATCAACCTAGACAGTGGGTGGTTGATCCCGCCGAATTTTTAACCCAAAGGACACCCAAGTAGTTCTCCCGTTCGCCTTCATAGTCTTCCCCAATTTCAATCAATTATGTTGACAAAAACACAAAATCATCATACTTCATCCATCTGTGAAGCAACGCTTCTTTCCGGGCTCTTTGGGCTTAAATGAGCTCCACTTGGCCCTTCCCAACAAATCAAGGGTTATCCTACCCTCCAGAGCTGGATTCTGGTTCCTTGGGTCTCATTATGGAGGGTCAATGCTGAAGCGCCATTTCTGGGACAATGCTGCCCAATGACATGACCCCCAATTTTTAGTCCAATATCATGAACATGGTAACATGGCCCATATCACTTACACTTCTTCATGTCTAGGAAGGACCCAGCAAACCATTCACTATTTTCAGGTGGGTCCAGTGGACCCAAGTCAAATTACCCAACAAAAACTCAGGATGGGAGTGGGTCCAGAACATGCGTTTATCCCAAACTGGGCTGCACGGTGCACCGTCAAATTTTGTGATTCTAAATGATGGAAAGTGATGGAAAATGACACAAGAAGGGTTTGCCACGCAATCTGTACCCAGTTTAAGATCTTCAGCCACGTTCTGTGCGCGGTGGCAAGTAGTTGGTCCCCTCCCGTCCTACCAGGATTCCACTTATGACACCCATTATTCACTACAGCTTTGAGGGGGAGCATACTACCGCAAGGAACTCTTGCGTCAGACACGGCAAGAATCTTTAAAACATCAGCAATACGCCATCAATCTTCAATACGGAATCAGTAAACCAGCATTGGTCTTCAGCGAATTGTCAATGGCATAATGAGGAATGAACATTACATCAACCCCTCCAAAACTTACAGTGATCAATGGCAATATTAACATCTTCAATAGACAATCTTGACAATATCTTGATATGATAGTGGATAATCAAGCGTCCAATTTCTCACTGTTGTGTCAATCCTCAATTTTCGATTTACTAGTTGCCCCACTACCCACTAGATGAGGCTACTCACAATCAATAAATAACAATGTTTCATCAATTTTTCAAGTGACTCAGATGTTTGTTGATAAAACTCACCATGTGTCGACCTTCAACCAATTTATCGATCATATTGTGGGTAAATCTCCGATGTATTATGGTGGCTAAATCACTGATTTATTCTGGATTCCAGATAAATCTCACAATTTCATTGTGGGATGTGGCTAAATCCCCAATTTCTCGTGCCTAAATCACCAATCTCTTGGGCTGAAATCCCATTTCTCGGATTTTTCAGCTTTCCCGGGTCGGTCAAAAACCTCCCAGCGGATCCCAGTTGCGCAGCCACTCGAAAGGCAAGGTCCGCCAGACCATCAGGGGAAAGAAAGTCACCGTGGCAGCCTGGTACCATGGAAAAGGTGCTGGTTTTGGACACGAAAAATAACGTGGACATTTACACAGGATGGGGTCCGCAGGCCCCTAAGATAGCGTTCAGTTGCATTATGGCTAAATTCTATGGTTTATGGTAGATATAACATGACATACTGTAACACTGTTAATGGGGTATATAAGCAAACATAACTGGGGGGCACCATCCTGCACCATCTTTTTGTAATGGTACCCTCATGGCATAGCTGGTCATCCTCTCAGCTGGAGAGAGCGCCCATCCCTGAAATGGTGGGTATAAGAGCCAGACATGGTGGGTTTTTATTCATGTCTAGCTGAGAAATCCCAATGAATTGGCAAATTTGGCAATGAAATGGGAAAATATGGGAAAATCATCCAACTAGATGAAGGATTTCCCCAGCTACGTTTGATTACCAAAGGGCATCAGCCCAGGATATCTCATCGTGGCAATGACGTCCTGAAACTGGGAAAGCTTTGGTAGTGAGAAATGGATGGTTTTTTGCGCCAAGAATCCAATCAACCAGTGGGAATCTGGGAGATCTACGAAAGCGCATCCGGTTTCCACGGGGGATACATTGCTGATGCTTCACTACAAACCTATTGTCTGTTTGAGCATATATTACGATTTTTCCACGTCTTTAAACCATGCAAACGTACAACTTAAATGGATTAGTATCTATTTGCAAGCCCCTAGGGACAGCCTTATTGGGGCTTGGCATGGAATGATAGATGGATATCTCCTCAAGCTAGAGGCTAAAACGCTTGGGTCGGCCAGCAAGCAAATAGGGCCATGGGGCGATATGGCCATGTTCAATAGCTATGTTAAATTACCCGAGTGTACATGATTTCTGGTGGATGTGAAGAACCACACATTTCGCTCCCAATCGGTACCTCCAAATCGCGGCCGTATTCCTGGATTGCCTTGGCCCAGATCCACCCAGACATGGGAGATGTCTGCTGTACCAAGGGGAAATACATCACCATTTTTGATAGGTACATCATCTATAAATGGGTCATTTTCCATAGCTATGTTCAATAACCAGAAGATATATATATATATAATTATATTATATAATCAATGGGAATTTCAGGAACCGATTGATTGGAGGTACCAATCCCATATATAAGGCGTATTTTTCAGGCCTATGTAAGGGAATATCCCCAGAAAATACGGCCCAAAATATGGTACGTTTACCTACCTCCATTTTAGGACCCTGAAATTCCCATTGAGGAAATGGCTTGGGAATGGTTGGGAGATCTTTGGGATATCTTTGGAATATCTTTGGAATATGAACTGATGGATCATGATGGATCATGACAGGATTATCACAGTCCATGTTTCAATCAGCATTCGTTCATACCATGGATTACAGAGCAACAACCTGATGTCAATGATTCTTTAAATTCCTCCAACACCACTTTTATTTCCATACCATCAAACAATATCAAACATAAACTGGTTGGTGGTATACCTACCCCTCTGAAAAATATGAGAGTCATTTGGGATGATTATTCCCAATATATGGAAAAATAAAAATCATGTTCCAAACCACCAACCAGTAAAGTTTAATTTCCATCATTCTCCATCGAATCGAATGCGTCAGACATGGGTTTTCCCATCACCTCCCGTTCAAATATGATCAGCTCAAGAAATGCCAAGGTGGCAACGAGGCAACTCCGCCCTCAACATCCACTTTCATAACACCCTCCAGCTTTGACATGCACATATATATATAATATATCAGAATAATGAAGTTATCAGGAATTTCCAAAATCATATCATGTAATATATATATATATGAAAATATGTATTTGTCGGTTGCATCCAAATCTAGGTGTATCCATGTTGTATCCCGCTGCATCCTGAGTAAATCTCATTATTGTTGCGTTCCAAACATTGGTAAATCCATGGGTAAACCCATGGGTAAATCCATGGTAAATCCTCCATGCTAACCATGCAATAGACATCTATTTCCGCACATACCTATGCAACCCTCAAGTACAGAGCCTATAGAAATCTCCATTTCCGTGGGATAGACATCTATGGACATCTTATTTCCATCTATAATTGACATTATTCCATCATCTATGAATCATCTATGGAACATGGCCCATTTACTTCGTAGATTTATATACCTCTTTGAATGGTGATTTTCCAAATCACCATGTTGAATTTGTGATAACATTCGTAGATTTACCATCCATGAATCATAAACCCATAGGATCCATGTATATGGTAACATTTACCATCAATATACCCCAGTCATGTTAGTATATATACCATGCATGGATCCGTCATGGGAAATGGACATCTCCAGATGTCGGATCCCTGGGATTCACATCCGACTGGTGTCCGGTGTCCGGAGCTGCGTGGCTTTTTGCTCTTCTGGAAACTTCTCTTCCAGGAGCTGCAGCCATCTCTTCATGCCATTCCTCCGCAGGGCACCCCCAAAAAAATCACATGGCATGGGTGGATGGTGACTGGATCGCCATTGGATCATGATCATAGAAAGCAATACCATCATCATAGTATAGAAACAAGATCAAGTAAGAATGGCTATGTTAAATTACTAAAGGGTAGATGTTCAGCTGGGGTAAACTGGGTAAAAATAAGGCGATGACTATTCATTATACATTAAACACTAGACGACGGATGGCCCGAGAGCGTAGACGAGCAAAGTCTTCTGTTGCTAGTATGGAGACACTAAATTACAAGACAATATATTGAAGATGTATTATAGGCAGACGAGAAGAGTAGTTTCAAAACAATATATTACAAGTACAATACAATAGTTTGCATCGTATCTTTCGTAAAGTTGCAGACAGACGCTTTTACACACAGAACTGTTTACAGACAGACGCTTTTATTATACACAGAGAGGCTTTTACACACGGACGCTTTTACACACAGAGCTTTTACACACAGACGCTTTTACACACAGACGCAAATACACACAGAGACTTTTACACACAAACACGTTTACACACAGACGCTTTTACACACAGACACTTTTACACACCAACACTTTTACACACAAATATTTTTACACACAGACGCTTTTACACACAGACGCTTTTACACACAGAGACTTTTACACACAGACGCTTTTACACACAGACGCTTTTACACACAGACGCTTTTACACACAGACGCTTTTACACACAAACACTTTTACACACAAACACTTTTACACACAGAGACTTTTACACACAGAAGCTTTTACACACAGACGCTTTTACATACAAACCCTTTTCCACACAAACACTTTTACACACAAACACTTTTACACACAAACACTCTTACACACAGGAGCTTTTACACACAGACGCTTCTACAGACAGAGACTTTTACACACAAACGCTTTTACACACAGACGCTTTTACACAGAGACCCTTTTACATACAGACGATTTTACACACAGACGCTTTTACACACAGACGCTTTTACACACAAACGCTTTTACACACAAACGCTTTTACACACAGAGACTTTTACACGCAGACGCTTTTACACACAGAAGCTTTTACACACAGAGACTTTTACACGCAGACGCTTTTACACACAGACGCTTTTACACACAGACGCTTTTACATTCAGACGCTTTTACACACAGACGCTTTTACACACAGACGCTTTTACACACAGACGCTTTTACGCGCAGAAGCTTTTACACACAAACACTTTTACACACAGACGCTTTACACACAGACGCTTTTGCACACAGACGCTTTTACATTCAGACGCTTTTACACACAGACGCTTTTACACACAGAGGCTTTTACACTCAGAAGCTTTTACACGCAGAAGCTTTTACACACACACACTTTTACACACAGACGCTTTACACACAGACCCTTTTACACACAGACGCTTTACACACAGACCCTTTTACATACAGACTCTTTTACACACAGACGCTTTTACACACAGATGCTTTTGCACACAGAGACTTTTACACACAGGCGCTTTTACACACAGACGCTTTTACACACAGACGCTTTCACACACAGCCGCTTTGACACACAGACACTTTTACACACAGAAGCTTTTACACACAGACGCTTTTACACACAGAAGCTTTTAGACACAGACGCTTTTACACACAAACACTTTTACACACAAACACTTTTACACACAGACGCTTTTACACACAGTCGCTTTTACATACAGACACTTTCACACACAGCCGCTTTGACACACAGACACTTTTACACACAGACGCTTTTACACACAGACGCTTTTACACACAGACGCTTTTACACACAACACTTTCACACACAGAGGCTTTTACACACAGGCGCTTTTACACACAGACGCTTTTACACACAGACGCTTTTACACACAGACGCTTTTACACACAGACGCTTTTACACACAGACGATTTTACACACAGACGCTTTTACACACAGAAGCTTTTACACACAGACGCTTTTACACACAGACGCTTTTACACACAGACGCTTTTACACACAGGCGCTTTTACACACAGACGCTTTTACACACAGACGCCTTTACACACAGACGCTTTTACACACAGACGCTTTTACACACAGAAGCTTTTACACACAGACGATTTTACACACAGACGCTTTTACACACAGACGCTTTTACACACAGACGCTTTTACACACAGACACTTTTACACACAGACGCTTTTACACACAGACGCTTTTTTACACAGCTTTTACACACAGAAGCTTTTTACACACACACAGTTTTACACACAGAGCTTTTACACACAGAGACGCTTTTACACACAGACGCTTTTACACACAAACGCTTTTACACAAAGACGCTTTACACACAGAAGCTTTTACACACAGACTTTTACACACAGACGCTTTTACACACAGACGCTTTTACACACAGAAGCTTTTACACACAGACTCCTTTACACACAGACGCTTTTACACACAGAAGCTTTTACACACAGTAAAATCGCAATTTTTCCTCAGTTTTTAACGTCCAACGTCCATTTCGTGCGTAAGGGTTGCGAATAACAAAGTAAAGTCGCAATTTTTCCCCAGTTTTTGACGTCCAACGTCCATTTCGTGCGTAAGGGTTGCGATTGACAAACTAAAGTCGCAATTTTTCCTCAGTTTTTGACGTCCAACGTCCATTTCGTGCGTAAAGGTTGCGATTGACAACTCAAAGTCGCAATTTTTCCTCAGTTTTTGACGTCCAACGTCCATTTCGTGCGTAAGGGTTGCGATTGACAACTCAAAGTCGCAATTTTTCCTCAGTTTTTGACGTCCAACGTCCATTTCGTGCGAAAGGGTTGCGCGGGACACCTCAAAGTCGCAATTTTTCCTCAGTTTTTGACGTCCAACGTCCATTTCGTGCGAAAGGGTTGCGCGCGACGCTTCAAAGTCGCAACTTTTCCTCAGTTTTTGGCGTCCAACGTCCATTTCGTGCGAAAGGGTTGCAATGGACAAAGTAAAATCGCAATTTTACCTCAGTTTTTGGCGTCCAACGTCCATTTCGTGCGAAAGGGTTGCGTTTCGTGGCGCTCCGGCGGCACCGCCCCCGCCTTAAGAGAGAATAGAAGAAGAGCGAGAGGAGATCTGCAGATGTGAAGGTGTGAAGATGTAGATCGGCAGATGTGAGAGTGTGAAGATCTAGATCTGCAGGTGTGAGGGTGTGAAGATCTAGATCTGCAGGTGTGAGGGTATGAAGATCTAGATCTGCAGATGTGAGGGTGTGAAGATCTAGATCTGCAGATGTGAAGGTGTGAAGATCTAGATCGGCAGATGTGAGGGTGTGAAGATATAGATCTGCGGATGTGAAGGTGTGAAGATCTAGATCTGCAGGTGTGAGGGTGTGAAGATCTAGATCTGCAGGTGTGAGGGTGAAGATCTAGATCTGCAGATATGAGGATGTGAAGATCTAGATCTGCAGGTGTGAAGGTGTGAAGATGTAGATCAGCAGATGTGAAGGTGTGAAGATGTAGATCGGCAGATGTGAGAGTGTGAAGATCTAGATCTGCAGGTGTGAAGGTGTGAATATCTAGATCTGCAGATGTGAGGGTCTGAAGATCTAGATCAGCAGATGTGAAGGTGTGAAGATGTAGATCGGCAGATGTGAGAGTGTGAAGATCTAGATCTGCAGGTGTGAAGGTGTGAAGATCTAGTATAACGGCTGCTTTTTTACGAAGAACCCTTCGCAGGCGCTCTCGGGAAAAAAACCTATTGAATAGATTATACGTATTTAAAATATCCTTGGTGATTGTGGAAAAGATGTGAAGGGAGTCTTCAGGCATTCAATTTCAATGGATCTTAGCTACAACAAGTTCCTGTGAACATGTTCATCCTTTAAAGAATCGATCATGTTTTGGATCACGATTTTAAGTCACTCTCTGGTTCCAAAGGTATCCCTTGAAACAACAACTTTTGGCAACCACTTGCGTTATAAACCTCTGGGCTGCCGATAAAAAAAGCGGGCAAATCGTCAAATCTGCCAGCGGCTAGAGCGGCTAGAGCGGCTAGTCCTGGATCACATGGCATGAATGGCTTGTAAAATCATATACCCTTTGGTAATCAAACAGAAACTGGTTGGTGGTATACCTACCCCTCTGAAAAATATGAATTCGTCAGTTGGGATGATGACATTCCCAATATATGGAAAAATAAAAATCATGTTCCAAACCACCAACCAAATAGCAATGGAAAATAAACAATTACTATTTGGTTGGTCATTACAATCCATGGAAAATATCCATTGATTATTCTCAATATATGGAAATGACCTACAACATATACTATTTCCCATTACAATCCATTTGTAGGTCATTTCCCAGCTAGCCCTCTGTGATGACTCAGTACGATGCTTCGACGCTTCCAGAACGACATCCCCAACTCAACCCCCCAGTAGTTGCATTGTACTGGGTGGCAAAAAACCGTTCAGAGTATTTTTTGACCCTACTCATTCAATTTTGTTGATACATACTTATTTTGGGTGTATCCCTGGTAATAGCATGTAATAGCATTCTGAAGCCAATCACTGCATGTGCTGATCACCTCTACACCTCCAACCAAGGGAGAGCGGCGGCACGCCGATGTTTTCAGAGTCATTCTCAAAGACCACGCGATCGTAAATCCCATCGGAACGTTCCTGGGGCTTCGGTGAGGTACCACTAGACCTGCGTGGAAGGTTTGTTGCAACATGGTTAGGTATATATAAAACCAACAAAGTTCCTAAATGTTCCCAAAAAGTCTCCATTTCTGTTGGTCTGACTAAAAGGTACACAAATCAGTGGCACTTTAAGACATTTAGGATGCTGAGGGATGATTATACGTCTCGGGCAAACATCGGTGGCTCAGTTTTAGAGACCGTTGTTGCGAAGTTGGGCCATCTGAAACTTTTCACAAAATCCACTTGGGTTTGTTTGAAAATAGGGTACCCCCAAATCCATTGGTGAAAAAACATCATTGTCCCATTCTTTGATGGCCATGAGTCCTGTGCTTGTCCCTTGGCACTTCCCCACAATGCCAGGTGCTCCAAATTTCCTGGTTAAAAACATCATTTTCTCTTCAAAATTGCCAAGTGAAGGTTACATACCACCATGTTCAGATGCACCCAAAAGCCACACTTAAGGTTTATATCCCATTGTATGGGATTAAATCACCAGTGTTCCTAGATACCCTCTGGTAATTTAACATAGCTATTGAAAATGGCCATTTATAGTGGATTTTCCCATTAAGAATGGTGATTTTCCATAGTTATGTTAGTTTACCAGAGGGTAAATTTTCATAAATCCTCATTTTTTGGGATAGTTCAATCCACCACATCCAAGCATCCAGGTTCGTGAACGTGACCTCGTGGTTCGTGATGGAATCCACCTGTAGTTCACACCACACCAAAACAGCTGGGATTTATGGATGTTCATCCCCCCGCTTATATACATATATATATATATTCAAATATGGTATTTATATAATTATATATATATATAAAGAGGTATTCAGCCATAGCCATGTGGTTCAACTAGAATCAGAACAGTTCAACTTCAATGATGAACGGGGAGAAAGACAACTCTGTTCATCTGCGGAGTAGGGATTAAACAGAAAAAAACAACGTGACACAAAGATGTCGGTCTCAAAGCAGGAGGACATCGATGACTGGTGTTGTGAGTCGTGATGTGTTGTTTTAATTCCAAATCTTAGTGCGAAGTGCTTCAATCAGCACTGAGTTTGCAAAACATGGATGGAAATGCACCAAAAAGATCCAACAAGGCACAAAAAACCAGGTGACTGATAAAGAAAACCAACTAATCTGCAAACAATAGCTGCAAATTCCTAGCCCCGCTGGAATTTGACTCTAGAAGTACTAAATCCACCGGGGAACAATCGCGCGAAGTTCTTGACCTGGTTTCAACTCTCCTTGGTTCCGACGGTTTCACAAGCCTTGACCGTTTTGATCCTTTTTGGGCATAGGATTAGAGTTCGGTGCCCGGTCATTTGGGGAGATGTTGGCCAGAAAGAGCATGGATATTCAAAATATTCAGCAGCAAACATGAACAAACCAGAAAACATATTCAATAAAGCAGCACACATGTGGATTTATTGAATAAATATAATCTGTGGATGCAACAACTGTTGAATGAGTATGGGTCGTTTTAACAACGAGACCCTTCTAAAAATTGCGAGAATGACGAGCAGGGATGTGAAAACCTGTCTTTTTCATCCCGGGCTTCACATCAAATTAGGGAATGATGTACCCTCTGATTATTTGTTACATAGCCATGGTATAGATGGCCCATAGAAATAGAGGTTTACCTATTAAAAATGGTGATTTTCCATGGCGAACTGTTAAATAACCAGATGGTACGGAAATGTCCCGACAAAATATGGCCTTATATGTTGCAGTACTCTGACTTTATGACCCGCAGTGACTTGGATGTATCGTTCGGTTTCATTCAGTTGGTGTGGAAAAAAGACAACTTCTCGCGGATAGATGGGGTATCATGCCCCAGGGATGTGCCCTGGCATATCTTTGGTATGATTCTGGTTGGTGGTTCACTTGAAAACGACGCCAGAATGGCCCGTTTCACTTTCTACGCTATGGCCCATGGTCGGTCCCTCCCAGTAGCTCCCAAGATGCAGCTCAGCAGCCAACGTAGTGAAACCCTGTTTCAAAGTCATAGCCTGTACCAACGTGTCGTGAAATCTTGTGGGTTTGGAAGGATACACCCCCTGAAATTCACATGGACCAATAGGCTGCGTCTGGATCCGATTGGATACGGCCATAGACGCGGTGAAGATCAGCCGATTGGATCCAATTGGGAGGGATAACCCCATTCTTGAGGCGTTTTTTCACAGTGGAAGAAATCCTTCACCAGCTGATAGGTGGTAAACATCCCATTATTTATACCATCTGGTTATTTAACATAGCCATGGAAAATCCCTTATAAATAGATGTTTTCATGGGAAAATCAGCTATAAATGGGTTATTTTCCATGGCTATGTTAAATAACCAGAGGGTATATAGGTTTCACTTTTCCAAGGTGGTGCAGGATTTGGCAACCATCCACAGTACCAACCACCGCGTCAACCATAGCAATCGCTGCAGGCCTTGTTCGGTAAAGCTATGCAATCCACCCCCCGCACGATCGTGTTGCTCCAAAACCAGGACCTACGCAGGGCACATGTCCATCAGGTAGATAGTAATCATGTTAATCATGTGGGAAACCCGAAAGACAAACTAGATGTCAGGTTTACACACCTACAGGCACCCATGTTTTGATGTTTGTTTAGACAAACCATAAAACATCTAACTCTACTTCCATTACACACTGTAAGTTCAAACCTTCTTGTAGAGCTGCAAAGGTTATGAAAGAACTCACTTTCGTTTCATCTTTGGGGGGTTGTCATAAACCTTTCAACAAATAGGGGTGTTTTGTTGGGTGCATACCACATTACAAACTCCGAGGGTTCTATGAAACATTCTGAAACTAACATTCTTATACCTAGGCCTGCCGGCTGGGTAAAAATTTCTTCCGCCAGCCCAGGCTTAAGAAATTATTGTCGCTTCAGAAATTTCTGCCGTCTCAGCCAAAAACTTCCGCTTCAAGTGTTTGGCGGGATTCTTGCAGGGTCAGCTGCCATTCTTTCATTTTTCGCACTTTTCTGATATTCACACACCCTGGAGAACATTGGCAGATATGTAGCATGTCAAAGTCCAAATATGCGTTGAAAACAACCAAAATAATGTACGCCGTTTGGTTGGGAATTTATGCCGTTTCAGTTTCTCAATTTTTCGGTGGAAGTTTTCAAGGTGGACACATGAGTTATGCGTTCTTCATGCAGCGAAAGTCTCCTCCACACCTATGGAATTGATAGAATCCCATTCCACTCAAAACATCACAATTTGCTGGAGCCATCCAAAATCCAAAAACTTCCGTCTCATCAAAAAAGCTCTGTTTGAGGGTTGACCCCTCCAAAAGTTAATTGTTCACCAAACATAAATAATTATTGCTGCCTCGGTTGTTCTAGGTATGCACAATCAATTTCTGGTAGTTTACTATATTATTATATGGGAGTCGAACCATGGCAGTTGTTTGGGTACCCAACATCTCCAACATCAAGAAAAAACCAATGAAACTGTGCATTGTGAACCCAGAGGTTGGGTGTTTTCTTCGTTTTTCTCCCAAGACACGATCAAATCCAACACGTTTTCTTGGTGAACCCCTCTCCATGCTCTCCATGTTTCTGGCTGAATGTTCATAATTCAACCCCACATAAAGACATTTAGGGATACCTTCTGGTAATCAACCGTGACAATTTAACATTAGTGGTAAAATCATCTATAAATGATGGATTTTCCAGCAAAAATAATGGTTGAGTACCGGAGGGTAGGTATCTCTATGAATCATCATTTACCATCATTTCCCCAGATGTTAAATCATTTCCCCTGGATAATGATGGTTTATATCTATGTTTTTTTTGACCATGGGCAAGTGATGGTAAATGATGTTCTGGTTGGTGGTTTTAACCATCTTGAAAAATATTAGTCAGTGGGAAGGATTATCCCATATAATATATTATGGAAAAATGAAACATGTTCCAAACCACCAGCCAGATAGCAATGATGATACATGATGTTAAATGATGTTAAAAGATGGGAACCAGGGTCCATGTCCAGCCTTTCGACCAAAGTTCCCCAGCAGCACTGCCAGGGACAAGCCGGCCGGGCCTGTTGAGATGAAAAACATACCAGAAACGATTGTTTTAGTATCTGGTTGGAAACATATTATATAGTGGATATACAATGATAATCCACAAACATCATGGGAAATCCTAAGATACTATAATATGTGGGTTTTATATCCACATATTTGGGACAGAATGGGGGTGTTCAATACTGGTTGGTGGTTTCAATCCCTCTGAAAAATATGAAAGTCAGTTGGGATGATGAAATTCCCAATACATGGAAAGTCATAAAAAATGTTCCAAACCACCAACCAGAACATGATTTGTTTAGGGGAATGGGATTGGTAATTTACCACACTGTCCTTATATCTTACTTTTTTTTCACAGTTGTCTTGGGGTTTGCTATACGGATATTCTGGGATTATCTCGGGCATACCCACAAAAAAATATTGCTGTCATGCAGGCATTCTATGGCAAAGAGCCCATTTTGCCTAGCAGGAAAAACAGGTATTCAACCAAATTAACAATAAATAGTGAGGAGGCCCGAAGAAATGTTTGCTCTGATCTTGGCTTTGATCTTGACGAGGGGCCAAACATAGCAAATGCCAATACTGTTAAATTACCAGAGTCCTCCAGAGAGTAGTGACTGAGCCAAAAATGCCCCTTTTTTCTCCGATTTCCCGAAATCGGCCAGCCGACTCAGTCGACCCTCAACTCGACTATCTGGTAAACCTACAAAAAGCTATTGAAGCCATGGTCCAGTCGAAATAGTGGATTTACCCAATAAAAATGGTGATAATGGTGGATCTTTCCATACCCCGAGGATCCAAAGTATGGACTATTTGCATGCATTTGGGTATGCACGCTCTCAGAGCGTCCGACCATGCTATTTGCGGTCTGACCATGATTTTTGCATGCATTTCCGACAGTTTATTTTCCGATTGATTTCCGATAAATTCCGACAGTCTATGGGGAATAGCCGCTGACCTTGTCACGGTTTGTCACGGTCTGTCACGGCGTTTTCCGACAATGCCCAAGATTTAAGTATAGTTTTTTGTCTTCTGTCACGGTTCGTCACGGTTTGTCACGGTTTGTCACGCAACATGTTAGGCAATTTGAAGCCAATATGAACCTTTTTCCGATAACATGCAATCTCCGACTTTTACATTTCGACAATGCGTGTGCTATTTGCGATCATCAGAAATGACTTCATTATTTGCATGCATTTCCGATTTGACCCTATTTATGCGCATGGATCCTCAGGGATAGTAACCTCTTAGTTTACCAGAGACTAAAATCTTGGTACCCTCAAGTTCACATCAAAATGGCTGGTATAGTTTTTTTGGCTCATCCATTCCAATGGCCCCCCCAGCTATTGACTCGTCCCCAAATGATCTTCATACTAATGATATCCCCTCAATACACCTATTGGTATTGTCTCATATCATAGGTTTTGCTCTCCATTCTTATTGCCTGAATTGTAATTATTCAGCAACCTGAAACCATTCGCCATTTTTGGCTGGTTTCCTTTACCATCATTTAAGCATATTAAGATCGTAGTCAATGTTAGTCCTCCTACGATTACTTACCTGTTCTCAAATCGCCAAGGTTCCCCCCAATGACCGGTCTATGTTTCATATCGTTTCATCATTTTCGTGGCCTTACCGTAGCTTGCCTTGCCCCACCTGCGCCAATGACAATGGCATCCGCTTCTTCAGGGAGATCTTGCTTCCGCAAGCCACGCCGCGTTGGATCCTCCGCGCTCTTTTAAGCCTCCCACCAGTTTTTCATGTTTAAACCGGTAAACCCAATAAACCTACCATGTGAGGATAGTCTATACATGTTTATACCTATGGGAAATATTGGGATACCACTGATACGGTAATATCTATGGGAAAATATTGGGGATGGGTTTAGTATTGCGTTTACCACCCAAATCCTCACCATAGCCATAGCCATCCATAGCCCCCTGTCCTCCACGGCTTTCGCCGGAGGAAAGGCCTTTGCGACTTTGCGCTTCCGTCGGAGCAGCAGCGCCAGCGACACAGCGGCAACCCCCGCGGCGGCAGCGACACACTGGGAGCGACAGGGCATGGCAACGAAAACAGGTGGAAATGGTGAAAAGAAACACAGAAAGTTGTGGAATTCCCCTATGAAAAGTAAGGAATTCCATGGATTTGTGTGGGATTCCCCCATTAAAAGTGAGGAAATCCCCATCGATTTGGATTTGTTTATTACGAGTTTACCATCAAAGAAACGCATAGACATACTATGAAACAATTGGAATCATCAAACAAATTTTGATTCGACCAGCAAAAACTGGGAGCTGCTCAGCAAAATTGGAATTTGATGAAATTTTATCGACAGAAATAGGGCTACTTACAATATCTTACAATGATATGATAGTGATTTAATCCAGGTCATATATCAAAGCAAAGAACGAAACAATTCTGAAATCACGAAGATTCCATCCGCAAAAATGGTATTAATAATATTAGGGGAGCACTTTGTTTGCTATCGGCTGGATGGTTGATGCGTAATGAACGCTTCGCCGAGCATGTTGCATGCACTTTGAACGCTCTAGATTTTCAAAGTATAAACTTCCTGGAGCAACAGTTTCATGCTGCTACCCTTGTAGAAGCCCTGATATGTAAACTTAAGCAGTGACAACTGTTTTTAAAGGCAGTGAATGAGAGGCCAGGTGAGTGATGTTCCCAAACCCTCTCGGTTTGGGACCTTCATCTGCCACATTCATAGCTATAGTTGATGTGGATAGCCCATTGCTTAGTTCCAATCATGTCAGTTTCTCATTTCAAATCCAGTGGAGTAGCTTCCAACAGATTCGGTTATTCCAACTCCCAGAACATAACTGGTTGGTGGTTTCAACCCCTAGGATTATCCCATATATTATGGACAATAAAAAATGTTTGAAACCACCAACCTAGTAACCGTTAGTAACCAGCATTCTCCTTTCCAACCCTTCTAAACAAATCAGAAAACGTTAACTATGTCCTACTGTAAATTTAATCCACTGCTTCATCACCATATTCCCTAGCACTGTGGCTTGATCCCATGGTGCATGATCCGATGGCCTTGAAAAAATCCTCAGCCGATTCTCGTTGATTTGTCCAAAAAAAAACGTTAACTTCAATGGGAATTCCAGGATCCTAAATTGGAGGTACGTAAACGTACCATAGTTTGGGCCATATTTTGGGGGGATATCCCCTGAAATTTAGGCCTGAAATATAGGCCAAACATATATGGGATTGGTACCTCCAATAATGGCTATGGTTCCATGGTTCACATCCACTTTTTGGGTGACATCTCCAAGAATTATTGGTCAATTTGGTCAATTTCACCGAAGTTTGATATATCATCAACCATTAACCATGGAACTATTGGTTAAACATCAGTTAAAACTAAGATCGGTAGTGGTTGCAACTACATAAATAGGAGCTATTGTGATAAACTATTGTAAACCCACAAAGTTAGATATATTGAGTGAAATATTGCGGAAATAAACCTACTCAGCTCGAACATGCTAAAAACTATGAGGCACCGCTCCCCCGAAGTCGTTGGTCTCACCCCCTTCGAACTTGTTTTACCGAGTCAAACACCACGCCGACTTAGGGGCGGACGCGACGTGGGGAGCCGGTAGCAGCTGAGCGCAGAAGGAATGGCAACGCACTGCACTTGCGAAGAATGGTTGATGAATGTGTAATGGTCAATGGTTAATGTTCGTATATGTATATACATTACATTGCATTCTTCAATCTACATATGAACATGGTGTGATATGTAATGTTGTAAATAGATATATGAATGTTTAATATGTGGTTAATTATTAACACACATAATGTAATTAATGTGTTTATATATAATTATAATAATAATAATCATCATAATAATAATAATAATTTTATACAGTACCATATCATATTGACCATCAACAAATGGGTTGATCTGCGACCTGGAAATATGTGGGGATTCTTGTTGGGAAATCACTTGTTACGGGGATGCTATAAAATGCTTCACTAGAATTTGCAATCCCATTGTGGAATTTGAGGATCCCCAATATATTGGGTATACCCCCCTCTGTCCATCAATTTGGCCTTGTGTGAAAACAGAGTCCCCTAGTAACTCCTAGTACTTTGTCAACGTTGTCCTTATTAGAATCATCACTGCATATTGTTGAGCGTCAATAGCCAACAGATCCAATAGAAACAATGGCAGTCATCAAACAAGAAACAGCTGGCAGATCTATTGACAAAGTTGGGAATCAATGTCGTATTTCAATCCTGCAGCTCTAATTTCAGTTGATCCGGTTTGGAGTGTGGTCAAGCACATGAAACAAAACGGTTCAACACTCGTCTCAACATATGAACCACAAAATCAGTGTGTCTCTCACCACTATCATTAATATTTCTCAGGTGCATTTCTCATGGATTATTCATGAACTATTCGAGATTTTATGCTAATCATAGTCATTATGAATTATTCATTCATGTCGAAGAAAAATGCGTCGTAAATCATTTACTTATTCAGAATAGTGTTGATCATACAAAAATCATTGTTCTTGTTTGCTCCAAAACACATCTTATGTCGCCTCCGGATTTCTCTGAACCCTGGCTATCAAGCGGGTAAGACCCTGGAAAACAGTTTTCTAGATTGGCTGTCCATGGTTTTAACCGATTTTTTCATTGCTTTTGGTTCCAGTCTTCCGTGGTTTTCATCAATTTGTCCATGGTCAGCATCCGGGTTTTATAGGATCACACTAAGCTCAAATCAACATTTAATATTAAAAGACACCACTAAATGAATATATATATGTATATATATATGTATTTATATATGTATATATATGTATATGTCTATATATATATGTATATGTATGGTAGCAGGCACTATATTAAAATCACACACACAGACACTTCTTGTCATGCCGATGATTCCTCCCACGCTGCAAGCGCTGCGATTGCGATGCACTGCAGATGGATTTCTTCACCTCTTGAAACGTCGAGGGCTTCTAAGTTCGGACGCAGCGGGAGAAGTTTTTGTTCGAAAAGTTTTCATGGAACTTTTGAAAAATATCGTGGGATTTCAATGCAAAATAAAACATGTAGGGGATTTAATTTTATCAGCTAGCCATGTTTGAGTACCGGAGGTATATTACATAATGGGATATGATCAGAAATCGGTGACACTCCCATGATACTTGAGAGCGCATCCCAGTTAGTACGTGGCTGATCACTCATATCGTAGTATGGCGTAGTATTCCATAGTATTCCATATATGACTGGGCTATAACATGGTTAGTACCCACTTAGCAACTGGGTGACCCTGAAAAATGATACATGAATGATTGGCATGACCCTTTCATATGTCTCGACCAAAAAAATGGTTTCACCCCCCAGAAAGACACGGAGACTTTTACTTCAATAAGACTTCAGACAAAATTACTGCGATTTGTAGGGTGCTTGTTCTTTTCTGCACCTTTAAACCTTTATGGCAAGTTGCCACCAACAAAAAGTTACCATTTTCAGAAACCCAAGCCGACGCACAGAAGACATGCCAGATTTGGTTTGCAAAACCCATCTACTACGATCATATATCCAACATAAACGTCCATAAAGCATGTTAATCCATGTTAATCCATATGAATCCCACTTACAAATCAACTTAGCTCATGACCTGCTGGTAGCACTGACCGTTTATCTATCATTTGAGCATCCCAAAATAATCCATTGTTCCACCAGATTAGCTCCCATTCTTCTGCCACTCTTGTTGGTTAAATCATGTTCAATTCCAATATGTACACAATGTGGGGCCCCCCAGTTATAAGTTGGTTTATAAACCCCCATAACTAGTTCGTTATAAGTACCATAAACCATAGTTATTGGAGTTATGTTCACCAACTGAACGCTATCTTGGGGGCCCCACATTGCACCCACCATAATATCATATAAATCACCATAAATCATGAAATCACCATGTTTCATAGTGAAATAATCTACAGTTATGGCCCAACTCACAGTTATAAAATGTTACGCACAGACCCCGTGGTTTGCCCTGACTGCAACATTGAGGATTCCCTGTGGTCGAACATGAGAAGAGAAATTGTAGAAAATACTGCGTATATGCTGTGTTTTCTGCTTTCGGATTCAGAGTTTTCAGGGTTTTAGGGTTTAGAGCTTTGGGGTTTTAGGGTATTTTGGTTTTAGGGTTTAGAATTCGTCGTCTGGTAAATACCAAAACACTGGCCCTGCGCAGGTTTTTGAGCATGTCGAAGGAGAATATTTGAACTCCATTGTAACCTTGCGGGCAAATCATAGGGCCGTGCCGAAATGTTATAAATGGGTTTATTTCATGATATATTACATTATAATACATTATAATACATTATATAACCTTAGTTACAGGAGTTATTTCATTCCATGGCCACAACTGTTAGTTGGGCCATTTTGTCATCCATCTAAAAATGGGGGTTTCTTTCACGTTCTTAAGCAACCAGCTATTGGGGTATCCCCATTCATGGAAACCCCCAAGAAAAAGGTTCAACTATGGTCAAATCACCATTTTCCCATGGTTTTCCTATGGTTTTCACATAGTTGCTTGGTTCCCACAACAGCTTCTTCGTAGAAACATGTCATTTCTCCACGCCTGGCCGCCCGACCTGATGGCCGCCGCGCGGCGAATTTTCAACGCGGTGACAGAAGCGCGAGCACGTCGTGATCCAGCGAAATCATCTGTGGGAAACCAATGAATATAGCATTGTCATGGATAATCCCATTGTAATCCATTTTCTATTTAAATATATATATATATATGTATATATATAGTGGATTATCCTATTGTATATATGTATCTGGTTAGTGGTTTCAACCCCTCTCAAAAATACTAGCCAGTTGGGATTATTGTTGTTGTTCGCAATATTTGGAAAATAAAACATGTTCCAAACCACCAACCAGATATACACTTATTTACGGTCAGGACGGAGGCGCTGCCTGGCGAAGTGGATTTTCACTGCGCATGGGAAATTGTCTTGTGATGTTTTTTGCATGTTGGTATGTCTGTGACATGGCAACTTGGCTGAC